CAAGTAAATCTAGCAACTCTTGAGTATGTACATTTACCTCCCGGAAGTATGTCATGAGACCTAAAAAGAACCAAAGTTTGTGATACAATTAGCTGAAAACTTCTGCAAAGAGCTCTTACAATTCAACTTCTCTTCTCTAACCTATTAAAGTTGTATTCCACTTATTGACAATTTTTGTGAATGTAGTAGAACCAGATGACAAAAGAATCTGCCTCACACAGTTCTAAAAAACTTTCATGCGTTCATCGTCAACTCTTAAGAAAGCAACAATTGTCCTTTCTTTTGTCTGTTCATTTTGGAGATTCCAGACACCTTCTCTTGTGTTGCTGAATGCTTCTTCAGTCATTCTAATTTTAGGAAGTATCCACACTTAAAATCCACACATGCGGGTTATTAAATTATCATCATGACAAACATAACCTTTTACTTGTCAAAAATAAAAAGAGAAAGGAAGAATAAACTTTAAAAAATCAATACTTACATGCTAAAAAGGAAGTTCAGATTATCTTTGCTGTAAACAGAAACAAAGTTATTTTCCCATTCCAGAGTTGTGATGCTTAGAGGAAGAGGGATATAAGATAAAGGAAAAGGGAAGAGGAAAGTAAGAAGGGAAGGGAAACAGTTACAAATGAAGGAAAGCAATTGCAAAAAATAGCAGAAATTTCAACTAAACTCATCGACAAATGAAACAAAATATCTGTTTCCACCAAGGGCATGTTCTTCAAATGGACCACATACATCTGAGTGTACCACTTCGAGTATGCATGATGATCTCATTAGCATAGTCGAAGCAAAATAATTTTTGGATTACTTTCCGACTAAACCTTCACAAAATTTGTCAGGCATCTAAAGACTTGGAATACCAATAACCATATATTGAGTATTCGGTTGATTGCATGCTCGAAAGTTCAAATGTCCAAACCTCAAATGCCACAACCAACTATCCTTGTGGTCGACAATAGTTTTTAGACATTGTGCTTCAGTCAAATTGATCATAGTCTTAAACATCCTGTTCTTCGACAGAGGAGATTTCAAGACCAAATTGTTCTGGGTATCGAACAATTTTAAAACTCCATCTTTCATGACAATTGAGAAACCTTTCTTGACTAGCCGTCCAACACTTAGCAGGTTGCACTTCATTCCAGGTTATATAACACATATTTGATTATAGCCTTACTGTGATCGGTGGAAATAGAACTGACTGTTTTGGAATGCTGGTTCGTGAAATGTCGCGGTAAGCAAGAGTCGCCACCGTCTTTTATTTTCTCCAACAAGGAAAGGACAAAAGCACAACAAAATTCCTTTTCAAGATGTTTCTCGGTTCGGGAGGTAGATTATAGAAAGGGAAGGTGTTAGCACCCTTTCTATCCGTGGTTATCCACGGGCTCTTAGGTACTTGCTCACTATGTTTTCAAAATGTTTTGCTTTTCTTGTGTTTGTGGGTTTTGAAAAAAGTTTGTTTGAAAACTTTGCTTTAACTCTTGTATCCGTCCTCAAGAGTGTATGAAGTGTTTGTTTGAAAACTTTTGTCAGAAAAGTGTAAGTGCGAAAAGTATTTTTGTTTTTTGAAAGAGCAAGTATCTAAGAACCTCTACCTACTCAAAAGAAATTAAGCTGTGTAAATGTCCTTTAGACAGTACTATCCCACTATTGAGAAGTAGGTAGCACCGTCGTTGGAGTTTTTCGAGTCAATTCGATTATAGGGACATGTGGTCACCAAAGCAATAGTAGGACGCCTTAGCGGTAACCCTAATGTCCTAGATCCTTTTTATCCGAGGCAACCGTTTCGAGGCAACTTGGATCTTTAGACAAGAGGGCGACCTCTAAAACACCCTATACTCAATGACCACGTCGAGGCAACCAAGTGAGGCGTACCCTAAGAGTGGCATGTGCGAGTGTGTCAGGATTCAGTTAAGTTATCTTTGCACATGTTATGGTGAGCTACGGGTTGATTTTATTTTCAGAGATAAGTTTTATCATGCATAGCCTAGTTAACATACATCTAACAGTTAATAGTTTGCGGGAAAGTAAATCAAGCTATTACAAGGCGTCGGGTATTTACATCGCCAAAAGAAAACCCTTGAAAAGTAAATTGCGGGAAATTAAATGAAAGTGATAAAAAGTCCTAATTAACGCTATTACATCCTCGGAGCAAATACATAAATATGATCAAAATAATATGCGCGAGCAAAGATTGAATCGGAGAAAGTCTTTAGGGTTTTGACCCTTTTGAGAAAGAAAGCAGTTTTGGTCCTTTGCATTTGAATTAAACCTAAAACTAATTGATTAATAAAAAGAAATATTTTTTTATGTTTTTTATGTTTTTAATGAAATAAATAAAAATAAAAAGATGATTAAAATTGTCAAAACCCTAATTCTATGTTAATTTTATTTATTGTGAAAAAAGTCAAAATTAAACCTAATTAAACTAAATTAGTTATATTAGTATTTATTTACAAAAATAATGAATTAAAGGTGAAATTAATAAATAATAATAAAAATACTATATTTTATGTTTTCTGAATTTTATTATGAAAAAAAGAAGAGTTAATTTGGTTAATTAAATAATAATAATAATAATAATTAATAGTAAAATAGTTAAATAAAGAAGAAAAAAGAATTAAAAGAAGAATAAACCAAGAGGGGGTGCTGGCCCAATATGGAGGTATGTTCTGGAATTTCTCAGGCCCATTAACTGCAAGCCTCTTTGACCTTGGTGATTGTCCAGGCGCATGGTTGACTGGGCGTATGATGATCATCCAGCTTTGGCCATTGGATATGTGCTTGGATACACATGGCGCTTGGATATTTAGGGCACATGGTAGACCCCTTCCTGAAACCTGCATGCAATTATATGAAGAAAAATATAAACAAATATTTTAGGGGACTTGGGATTCGAACCCAGGTCCCAATAGCCTTTCCACTCACCTGCCTGCCAATCCAACTAACACGTTCATTCAATATAGGAATAGCAAATAAATATAATATATAAAACTCAATTAATATGCTGAAACTATGAAAAAACGCGCTAAGATTTAAACCGGCCAACCATATGTTAACACGTCCTCGTCTTCTTCCTTCGTTCTGCATAAAAACACATTAGATAGCGGGGGTTTTTTATCCCCACAATATGCCATGACGAAAAATAGCGATTAGAGCTAGGGTACACATAAATGTTTCGCGAGGGTTTGGTTTTGTTCGTCTTGTTCTGAAGAAATCAGTCATATGCCTTAGGAGTCTTAATTTTTCTGGGTTTAGGAATCCCCAATTTCAAAGTTCAGGAACCCTAGAAATCGTCCATGGCAACTTGTGATTTTGTGCATTATAATTCAATTAACTTATGCCATTAGCTTAACATGATTACTAACAATGCAAAACAATCAAAAAATCATGTTAAATGCTCATGAATTGGACAATACGATTTTGAAAAAAAGCTTCAAACCGTGGTTCTGTTTAGGACGATTCTTTGAGCTTCAAGGCTTGAATTTGATTGCCACACACTCCTGGGAACTCCTGCAAGATATTAGAATCAACAAAAAGCTTTGAATCGCCCTGGAATATAGAAATCAGTTTTGAGTTTTTTTTGAAATTTCTCAATATGGCTATGGTCTTTCTGCAGCTTTTTTCACGTGTATGGCATTAGGGTTAGCTTGTACATATATAGAGGAATGAAATTAGGTCACAATCTTGAGCAAAAAATCCATGGAATTGATGATTGAATATTTGATTGAAAATCAAATCTTTTTGCATTTTCATGATTGAAGAAAGTTGCCAATTTTGGAGATTTTTGCATATTTGATTTGTACACGAAATTGCCAGCATATCTTGACCATGTTTGCTTCACAAAAAGATTGAAAAACCAAATCTTTGTATTTTCCTACAATTTAAATTAATTAAATGAATTAATATTGATTAAAAATCCAATTAATTAATAAAAATAAGAAAATAAATTCAATTAAGCTTGATGGGTCGTGCATAGGCCATGGATGAAGTTTCAAGAAGAGATTTGAGGCCCATTAGCAAAAATAAGGTGTTTTGAGCAAAGTTGACTTTTGCAAATTCCTAAAAATTTCCCAACTTCTCCAATGCATATCTTGCTCAATTTTGATCATATGAACATGTTCTTGGACATTTTGGAAAGTTCTTGAAGTCCTATAACCAATTCCTTTGGTCCCATGTCATTTGGATTTACCAATCTCAAGTTATGGTCTTTGACTTAAAGTGCACTTTTGTTGACTTTTGAATTTGACCTATAATATAGAAATTGATAACCTTTTGTGAGAGCATTTCTTGGACTTGGAATGTGAAGATGGTTTGTATGAAATGTCATCCCCTTCAAAATGAGCATTGGATGGAATTTTTCTGACAAACCATGAAAAAGTTATGCCCTGGTCAAGATACAGTTGACTTTTCTGCTGTCCAAAAATAGCAACTTTTTGCATCTTGATGATTTTTGAGCTATGCTTGTGGAATCATGATCAAGACTTGATCAAATGATGATTGTGAACTCAAAATAAGATGTTGACCAAAAATTCTGACTTTTGACTGCAAAATGACCATTTTGCCCTTGCAGTTGACTGTGGATCAAATGGAGCTTTTGTTTGTGCAAATTGGTACTGTGAATCTTGAAACTTGGCATGTAGATGCTTGAGAATGCATATAGGCCTATGATACTTGATTGATCCATTGAAAACCTCAAATTCCTTGAAACCACCAAAACCCTAATTTCAGCTGGCTTAGGAGGTAGTTGGACTATGCAATCCTTGAGCAATCTTGAACCATTTGAAGATGATTCTTTGACAAATCTTGAAGAATATGGGAGGGAAAATTTTGGGGTACAACACTTACCTATTCAATTGAAAAACTATGTTGCCAGTACTCTTCAAAATCTGCCAACCACACCTTTTGACCAGTCATGTGATTCGAGCGGCCTGAGTCGAGGAACCAAATCTTGGACTCGACATGGTTATGTACAACTACAGCCATAACGACCATACCTT